ATATGGCATCGGCACCCGGGGATTGTGAGTCTTGAAGGTCTTGTGGCCCTCGGACTCCACCTCTGTAACATCAACAAAGTCAGAGGCCAACTCCCGTAATCCATACTGCAGACAACCCACCATAGCGCTGAGGAGGCTCACAGGTCTCCCGTGTGCCAAGAGAACAGCTGGGTAGACCACCTCAATAGCAAGGGCATCGATCGGCCTGGTAGGAACGACGCAACGTATAAGCCATAGCATCAAGAATCCAGCTAGCAACGCCGCGTCGGAAATTTGAATCAGAGCTTGATAATGAAAGCTCTCAAACTCTGTGTGAGCCGGGAAAACATCTTCCTTGGCCTCATTAGTGTAATGGGAGGTAGCATCGTCAATACGAGCCTGAACCTCTTCCAAAGTACTGACAGGCAAGCGGGTCACAGAGCCTCCTTTAATGGTCAAGTTCCGGAATAAATATTCCAAGTGACACATGACTTCCCAGAGAGTGGCATAAATTTCCGGACTGGTCTTCTTTAAAATCTGGAGTTCCGCCGAGCCCGGAACGAACTCTTCATACGGCAAATCCCCGAGAATAAGACCCGAGACTTCGTGCATCTCGTGAAGGGCGAAGCCTAGTTCCCCCACAGGGGTGAAGAAAGTGCAACTATCAGGATTATACTTCTCCAATATGGAGAAGAAATGAAAGTGGCTCTGGACGATCCCAAATTCAGTAGCCCGCACAGGAACCAGCAACCCAGCTTGAGCGAGGGGAGCTTCTAATTCCTTCAGAACAAACTTGGTCATCTGGGCCCACCATCCAGCCGCTGGAGAATGAACCCAGCCAGGAGTTCTAAATCCTTGCGCAGGGAACTCTCCCTTCTTTTCCAGGAATCTCTTAACGAAGGTCTTTGCCGGACTGGGTGCTTCGCCAAGGGGATACTCCTTAGCAAATAAACTCGGCCGTAAAGCTGTCACCTGCCGATTATAACCAACGGGGCGAACCCCATAGAAAGTCAGAGCTCCTAGAGCAACCCCATCTTGATCCTTAACCAGGGGCCAATCCATACGCCTCGGGACGGAAGCGCATTGGAAATAAGATAGGGGGAACATCCTCTCCATGTTGGGCAAGAAAAGGTTGCGTTCCTCAACTCTCCGCAGCCACTTATAGCCCCCATCATAAGCAGTGCTTGCGTTGAAGTCAACAAAGTCCCCGAAGAGATATCCAGGTTTGGTTATGGGCTTACGGCTTGGGCTTTCAAGTCGAGCGTCCGAAACCAATATCCTAAGAGTGTCGGAAGAAGCTTGGGTGATCAGTTCAATGCGACTCTTCTCCCTCATCCGGAAAACCGGGAGTTCTAAACGCGAGCTGAAAGTTATGTTCATGTCTGCACCACCTTCATGTCCAAAGTGGTGGCGAAAAAGAAGAGGCTCGCTGGTATGGCGCACTGCAAAAAGAAGAAAAGAGTTAGACAACTCAAAATCAAAGTTCAGACGCGAAGGTCGAACCCCGCGTCAAACAAGTTCAGACGCGAAGGTCGAACCCCGCGTCAAACAAGTTCAGACGCGAAGGTCGAACCCCGCGTCAAACAAGTTCAGACGCGAAGGTCGAACCCCGCGTCAAACAATCTCAGACGCGAAGGTCGAACCCCGCGTCAGACAATCTCAGACGCGAAGGTCGAACCCCGCGTCAGACAATCTCAGACGCGAAGGTCGAACCCCGCGTCAGACAATCTCAGACGCGAAGGTCGAACCCCGCGTCAGACAATCTCAGACGCGAAGGTCGAACCCCGCGTCAGACAATCTCAGACGCGAAGGTCGAGCCTCGCGTCAGAAAAGTTCAGACGCGTGGGTCGACCCTCGCGTCAAAAATCTAAGACGCGGAGGTTAAACCCCTCGTCAAGAAGATTAAACGACGGAGTCCAGCCCCGCGTTATGGGAACGAGTTTCCTCGTTAATTTCAAGATCAGAACTTGCCGGAGCAAGTTTAATGACCACGAAGGTCGTACTCACCACCGATCAAAGGAAGCTGGGGCGTCACATTCGCCTGAGCAGCGGCGCCGCTGGCCGGCGCTGATGATGCAGATCCCCGAGCCGCAGCGGCATCGGACTTGGGAGCGACGGGCTTCTTGGGTGCCATAAGATCTCGTCGGAGGAGATGAACAGCGTTTCGCCGGAGATGAGAACGAAAATTTTTCGTTAAAATTTTCAAGAAGAGTCAAATGACTCTTGATTTGACCCCTAGCGGTCTATTTATAGACAGCTATGAGCTGTCAAATCCTAACGGACGGGATTCGAGGCCATCAGCCCGCCCAAACTCGACCCTCGCGTTCGAGTTGATTCAGCTTCCAAACGCGATGCTCACCTGCGCGTTCAAATTTCCCAACGCTGGGCTCACCCACGCGTTCCAATTCTCAAATGCAGAAGGCATCTCTGTGTTGAGACCACCATGAACAGCAATTTCTTGGTTACCAAAGCGATCAAAGCCAGGAAGAAACAAACGACTCCACTGGGGAGTCTGTTGGAGGAGTACAGATAGAGTACAGTCAACAACGGCGAAATCATCTGACTCGATCAGGCGGGAAGAGCAATCAATCCACCAAATTCTGGGATCCAAAGTATTCCGAAAATTCGTCCCAGTCAACCGCGAACTTTCGAAAACTTTGGAGGGGGTTCTGTAGGCTGTCTAAAAATCACAATAGATAGCTTATTCAAACAAGCTCCGACAACGGAGGTCACAATCAGACGACTTCCCAATCACTGCATCCGCAACTCCACAATCGCCACAAACGCGACCTCACTTCTGAGATGATTGATCTTGATGGCTGTGACAACAGCATGGCTAATATCATAGCAACTATTAGAGATGCTGATGAGCAGTGGGACGATTTCAGAAATAAAAAGTTGGACTCAGTTGGTGAGTTGCTTGGTAGAGAGCTATGGGCGAATATTCATCTTTAAGACACTATGGATGTTGATTCCCGTCTAGCTCCTACAACGAAAGCTACAATCAAATAGCTTTCGGGTCGATGATCGAAACATATAGTCGAATAGTTGCTTGGTAGAGAGCTATGGGCGAATATTCATCTTTAAGACACTATGGATGTTGATTCCCGTCTAGCTCCTACAACGAAAGCTACAATCAAATAGCTTTCGGGTCGATGATCGAAACATATAGTCGAATAGTTGCTTGGTAGAGAGCTATGGGCGAATATTCATCTTTAAGACACTATGGATGTTGATTCCCGTCTAGCTCCTACAACAAAAGCTACAATCAAATAGCTTTCGGGTCGGTGATCGAAAGCGGCAAATAGAGGACTTTTCACATAGATCGAGAAAGGTTACAATTCAACGACACTTCCGACAACTGATGAAAACTCTATGCAGCAGTCTTCACAATCTACAGTGAAAGTTACAATCTGACGGCTTTCACACCCCACAACAGCTAAAGCCAGGATTACTGAACAACGGTCCTTGCAACGCTCTACAGAAGAAGTTACAAATCAGCTAACTCCTTCTGAAACGCGGGTGTCATCCCCGCGTCATAACTTTGGAAATGAAGGCGACCCTCGCGTCGTCAATGCACAAGCCAAACGCGAGCGACCCTCGCGTTCAATGGTGTTCAACCAACAGCGACCCTCGCGTCGACAATGCACAAGCCAAACGTGAGCGACCCTCGCGTTCAATGGTGTTCAACGAAAAGAGTCGGTTTTGCAGCCGAATGTGTTTTACGAAGTGCACGGGACTGCTAGTCCCGTGCACTTGGTCTTGAGCAGCGGCAGGCCTCGCTGCTTAAAAGTCGGGACTAGCAGTCCCGACTTTTAAGCAGCGAGGCCACCCGCTGCTCAAGACGAAGTGCACGGGACTAGCAGTCCCGTGCACTTCGTAAAACACATTCGGCTGCAAAACCGACTCTTTTCTTCTGAAAAAGGTCGGTTTTGCTAATATTTTTTACTTTAGGTCGATTTTGCCTATTAAATTCTAAAAAAGGTTGGTTTTAAAAATTTCTCCTCAAATTAACTAATAGGGGACGTAGGTCCAAAACAACAAATAGGAAATATAAGATAAAGCCATGACATCTCACGTGATTACACACTGACAGACAATAATACTTTTTATCTTATTTTATTATACTGCTATATAGATGATGGGTCCTTTCCACTGTTCTTCTTCACCCGCATAGTCAGATCCTCTGAAAAAATTTAACAGGAATTGCGGCGAGAATCTTATGTGTACATGTTGAGGAAAAACCCGTGTTATAAATGTTTGGCTAAATTGCACTTAAATAACCTATTGTTTTCCCAAAAAGTATGTATACACAATACGGTTCCAAAATGGAGCAATTAATATATATATATTCTAAGTTGTAAAATAAATAAATAAATAAATACCTAAGTTGTAAAAAAGTGCACGTCGCTACTTTTACCAATCATTTATGCATTTATGAGAACATGCTCGTCACATAACTATTTTAGTATTGGTTACAACTCCACCTATTCCTTTCAACTACGGGGGTTATTTTTGAAGAAGGGTAATTTTATCATTGTGGATAGAATTTAAAATTGTTTAACAAATTCATGTGGTGGACAATTCATGGTATATATATTTGCTCTAATTTGTAACCTAGGGTATATAAGTACCCTTTGGGAAAACAATAAGGTATTTTAAGTGCAATTTAGCCTAAATGTTTTGAAAACATCCCTTTATTGTATTATTTTACTTTTTCATTGAGACCTCTACCTCTCCTTCTGGCTACTATATTATGAAATATTATAATTTAAAATACTCCTTCTACGTACGCTACTAAACTAGGATTAATATATGAGAATTTGCTACATGCGACATACTTGCAATTTAAGCAAAAGTATAAATTAGCAGTACTTATCATCCTTGGATTAGCATTTTGACAAAGATAAATTGCAAATTTCTCTTTTTCTGTGATAAATGGTTTACTTTTTCCCCCGTTTAACTTTTGTCACCTATAGTGCATAATTGAAAGTTACAAACACATGAAATTAAGAGAGTACACGGATGAAAGAGTTATAGTATTATATTTATACATCATCATCATCTTCATCATTAGTAGATCCCATGTTAATTTTACTGAAGCGTTGTCCCGTACTTCTGTTCTCCTCTTCATGGATCATCCATTTCTCTGCCCTCTTCTTTCTCTCTCTTCTTGTTTCATCTCTTCATTAATCTTCTGTACTCAATACTGAAATACTATTGTCATTTCTGCTGGTTGGTGGTAGGTTGGTCCCTAATAATTATAGAAAAACTAGCAGTAGATCACTATACTATATAACATTCACTTATAATCACTTAGATTCTTACACAATTAACATCCTCCTCCAACTAAGTTTCATTTGCCAAGATATATAGAAGGATTTGAAGGGCTTTGCTATAAGCTAAAACATTAGAGATATATGTACTAAAAAAGAAACAAGATGACTATAATCCAAAGGGTATCCTGCACTTTCTTCTTAATTTTTTCCTACTTAAAAACTTTCTTCTCTCATTGTTGCCTGCCAAAATCACATTAATGAACAAGGGATTAGTAAATAAGTGAGGAAATAAAGAGAGAGTTGATTGATTGAAGGAATATGTTGAGATTGCTTACTAGAAATATGGGAGGCCAAACTCACTCCCTCTCTCTCTCTCATCTTTACTGATCACTCTTTCATAGTCCAACAGCTCCATGACCAGAAGAGAACCTGACAAACCAAATGTACAATCATTCATGTCATCATTTTTGTTTGGACAGTTTGTCATTAATAAAAAAATGCATGGTTTGTTCCAATTTTACCTTTGCTCTCCCTCCTAATTAACTAATCAGTGTCAAACTCTTTTATAAAAGACAAAGACCCACAAAAAAAAAAATCTTGTTAGCTATATCTCGTTTAAACTTGGCAAGAAAACTACCAAAAAGTCCTTACAAATTAGATTGGTGTTACTCATCATGCATCTTTTCACGGGGGTTAAAAAAAAAAAAAAACTAATTACTATTTTTAGGGCCTTTTTGTTTTTAACCCACATTCATTCATTCATTCATCCTGAATTTATTGGAAATCATTCACACACCCGAAACATCCGAGTCCATTTGCTTTTAAACCCAATATCTGTAATAATCTGCCATAAACTATGATAAAGTTTGCTAATTCGATCTAAACTACTATAATATTTGTTAAGCTGTTATAGTAAAGAGGTCAAATACCGAATCTGGATTAAAAGAAAGAAAAACGGAAATCAAGTTGAATGTTGTGGATGCATGAATGATTTCAAAAACAATTCAGGGTAAAAGAACGAATTTAAAATAAAAAGAGCTTTGTTTTCGGGAGATTCATAAGTATACAAAAAACACGGTTACTTGCTTTATCTAAAAAAAGATGAGTACCAAATGAGCAAAAAAAAAAAAAAGACTTGCAAACTAAACTATATGGCCATGCATTTTTTATGAAAACATAAGTAAATAATTCCGAAAGCTAGCTAAGTTAAATACCTGGGAATTTGAAGGAAGCAAGTTTTGTAGGAAGGCGCGTTAAGGGTGGAGCTGGGTGGCAAGAGAGTTGAGGAACCGAGGTTGTTGGCATTGGCAATATTGCCATTGCTGTGAGCAGAGCCAGCACCGACAAACTCTGACTCATCGACAAGACCGGCGAATGGATCACCAGCAAGAAAGGAAGAAGTTTTGCTTGGTGAAGCGAAGGGACTATCAGGCAAGTTATGCTCCACACTGCTTTAATAAGGTGGGGAAAAAGAAAAGAATATCGTAAGGTTAAGAGAGAAAAATGTAGACATTGTGAAATATATAGTATTATTTTTTGATGCAAAATCGAGAGGAATATGTAAACCCATAAAGTTGTAGGTGTTTTTTCTGAAAAAAAAGGAAATGTTAATTAGACAGTAAGACTTGTATCATACTGGTACTAAAACTCAAACATGTGAGTTCATTTTTAGCAAACTGATAGATAGATTTTGAGATCATAATTGTAAAACAGATTTACACAATTACTGTTCCATCCTAATATGACTAGCAAGTGTCTTGTGAATAAAAAAGTATTATTGATTTTCACATCAGTAAAATACTATAATATTGTATGATTTAGAAAGTAATCTTTTTTCCGTCTATATGCAGGGTAAAAGAATCCGACTCCGTTATTTTCTAATTAGGCAAAAAAAAAAAAAAAACAAAGTGTATAATAAAAGGTATAGACTCAATGAAACCAATCATAACAGAGAGCAAAAGAGAAACTTTTCTTTGCCTCCTCTTTAGCTTCACAAAATTCATCCTCTCTCTTAATAGTGGTTTTTAAAAGGCATCCATTTCATCCTCCTCTTATTAGTGCGCACATAGAGAAAATTTAAAAAACTTTCAAATGTTTTTGAAACCATTAATGCTTACAACTTTCATTTTATTATAATTTTTTTCTCTTAATTTGCGTAGTTTATTACCTCTCTTGGAAATCACGATCTTCATTGGATACCTCCTTCTCAGCAAGGTTGACTGCCTTCATCCCGTGCTCTCCTTCAGAGGAACCAAGACTTGGGCTCTTTTCTATAAGCAGCCAAATCAAACTAAGGAAACAAAATTCATAAAAAATTCAAAAATAATCAGTCATTCAGTTCTTGCCTTCAGTTGGGGATTCTTCAAAGCTCCTGTCATTTGAAGGAGCAGTGCTGATGGTTGTTGTGCTAGAAATAGTTGTTGGGCTTCTGCTCTTGAGATCAAGCAGGCTAAGGCCCATGAACTTACTCCTCTGCATCTCAATTACTTGCTGAAGCTCTGCTGCTTGCTCCTGCTCCTGCTGCTGCTGCTCTGGCTTTCTCCTTAGCAGCATTTCTTGACTTTCTTGAAACGTGTTTGCATTGTTGTACATAAGTCTTGCTCCTAAAAAGAAATAATAGTAAAGATCATTTCGGAATACCCAAAGTTTCAAAAAGAAATAAGAATTGGGTATTTCTCAGTTTCGTACCAAGGTGCTGTACACCAAATTGATCTCTAAAGTCCTCCCCCTGCTGCTTCCTGAAATTTTGAACAAATGTTGGATATTTAAAACATATATAACAAGATTTTGATTTGATAATGAAAAT